ATTGATCCACAGTTTTGCCAGGCGTTACTATAGACAGGGGTTACTCAGTCGGTAGAGCATTGAACTCAAAGCTAATATCGGTGGTGTTGGAGGCAGTCCTTGGGCTCACGAATGTTTCTTCCTTCCAAAATTGATGAATGAGCACCTCTCTGTCTGAAGGAAGGAGGAAACTATGCATTACGTTTGACTGATGGTTCTGGATTCTGCCTCTGAAATGAGACACTTCTCACTGAGGCACAGAAACGGAGTGCAGCGGCACAGCAGTCACTTTATAAAAAGAAAGGCAGCGTAAAGTGCCCGGTCGTACAAGGGGAGGAAGATTAGACATTCCAGCCGTGATTAGTAGTGCGTTTGCTTCATTTGTTATATCCCGAGCCCTCAGACACTCCATTGGTCATCTAGTGTGTGCTTCTGCTTGTTTTACCGTGTGAAAGGGCGCAAGATGAAAGCTTCCAAGGAACTGGTTGATGCAGTCAGCTTTAGCATATAACAGTCTAATGAACAATAGAATAGGGCACAAAATGCGAAGGACAGAATAGCAAATGGAATATAAGCAAATTATTGGTTATGAAATGTAAAGGATTCGTACTGTATGTTTGTCTCTAAAGTTTCAATGCTGAATTTGTATAATAGAAGTTAAATTTCCAGCGTATTATAAATATTCCTTGTTTGTTATAAAACATTCCCAACGAAAATCCAGCGATGTAATGCTTCGTTTGATTTAAAATGCCAAAAATGCGATTGGCCCTTTTGTTCAGTGATTCATGATTGACACTTTCTGATTCGCTGTTCGAGTACTGAACTTTAAAATGGGAGTTGCGCCATTATGTGAAAACATATGTTTTTTGGTAAGAACAGCGATAATCTTTCAGTTGTTTGAACCTGGCAGCGTTGTCACATCGTTCCTATGCTTTTTGCTGCTTAGGGAACCGTCAACGAGTTGAAAGGATGCAAACATCATGAAGCCGTGTTCTGCTAAAAGTGTGTAGGCTTCTGGTAGAAAAGAAATGTAGCGACTAAGCCGTATGTATGAAAAGAATTAACAAAACCTGATTGTAAAAAGTATTTCTGCATTGAGCTGAGCTCACTCTGTACTAATTGGAAAATGCGATGCATGATTTGAGAAAGTTTGAATGATTAATGAGCAGATCTAATTGATTTAGGGATGTGTCAGTGGTTACCATGTTTCACAGTGAGCGGAG